GACCCCCTCTCCACGGGAGTCTCCTCCTGAGAGGACCTGGGGCGTGCAGGTGAGAAGCAGGTCCAGGGAGGGCCCTGGACCCCCGGCCACACCACAAAGCCCTTCCCCCAATGTCCTCTGGCCAGGGCAGCTCCGGGCCCCACCTCCCTCGCTGCACCAAGTTCCAAGTCCCTCCCTGAGCTGCCAGAGCATAGAGGTCTGCAGTCCCACTGCTCAGCTAGGTCCTAGGGGAGATTCACCTGACCGGCCTACTCCTTCCCAGACACACACACAGGCATGGCTGGGGTAGAGCCGGACACGACCTCTCCGGAGATCTCCTGCCTTCCCTCAGGGGAGACGTCCTAAACCCTGCGCATGTGACGGGTGGGCCTGGGCGTCTTCAGCCAGAGGGGAGTGTGCTGTTCCGGGCTGCCTCTGAGGCTCTGAGGAGGCTCAGGGAGCCGCGACTCACGTGGCTCCCCGGGACCTGGGACTCCCTGCAGGCTCAGCAGTGGGCTCCGGGGCTGTCTCCAGCTCCGGTTAGGGTCAGGGGTGCCCTGGGGAAGAAGGGAAGACCCCATGGGGCTTCTGGGTGTCCCTCCTCAAATGGGGCAGAGAAGAGAGTACAGCAGCATCCCCGTGGCCGTGGCCTGGCTGAGGAGTCCCTCTCTGTGCACTGGGCGGATGGCCAGGCCCAGCGTCAGGTGGAGCACACCCAGGGTCCATGAGGAACGGCCCTTGGTTCTGGGGTAGGTGTGGGGCTCTGTCTCCCTCCTGCCTCAGTGCCACCTTCTCTGACACAGCCGCCCACGCCTGTCCGAGGGAAGTCCTGGGGGTGGGGCTGGGGACTGGGAGGGGTGCTGTGGATGGCAGAGCATGCCAGTCTTCTCTCTGCCCGCCTGGCCTGGCCCAGCTGACCAGCTGACCGTGCAGGCAGCCCCGGGCCGGGAGACAGCTTGGGCTCCGTCACGCCAGCAGCCCCGTGGAGAGTGGGGGCCAGGAGGCCGGCTGCTTCTGTGCATAGACCCTGCTCTGGACATGTTCAGCCAAGCACTGCCCGGCAACACCAGGGGCCGAGGTCACCCTGAGACAGTGACCTGAGGGACTGCTGGTCACCCTCACACCAGTAGCCTGAGGCTGACCCCTCTGAAGGTCTGGAAGAGGCCACAGCTGACAGCACAGGAGACTGGCTGGCTGGAGGCTCTGGCCATCATCCAGGGGAAGGAAAGGAAGGGAGCACGGAGCCCTGGTGTTGGGGGGCCTCAATCTCAGCATGCAGGGAATGAAGCCCAGTGAACCTCAGGGGACCAAGGATACCCAGAGGGGTCAAGGCTGTGCTCAGTGCTGAGCAGGCCGAAGGGAGCAGCTGGAGCCCCCCCACGCCCCTCCTCACCACCGATGAGCCTTTGCAGAAGTTTGGATGAGAAGCGTAGAGGTGGCAGCCCCCAGGGGAGCCCAGGGGCACAACTCAGACACGCTTCTGTCCTCCAGGAATGGCTCTGGCAAGGAGGAGGAGGGCCTGCCCTTGCTGGTGGGGGGCGTGAGATTCAGCCGTGGCTGCACCCGGACAGCCCATGCATGGTGGGGTAAGGGGTGTGTGAGGCCCGTACCTTGGGTGCCCAGATGACTGTCCCCACCACGAACAGCCCGGCGAGGCTGGGTGGCCAGTGTCAGCACCCCCTAATCACAGGGCCCCCTAGGCACATGGGCCTCCTCACTGTGGCCATGACCCACCTGCTGGGACCCAGCCCTTGCAGACAGGGCTGACCTTGGGTTTGGAGGGGTGGCCTCTGCTCCCTGAGGCAGTACTGTGTTTTGGCACCTGTGCCCCCCACTTCCTGGGCCACAGCCCCCTTCTGCAGAACGGGGTGGGCACTTCTGCTCTGGTGGGTCCTCGTGAGTGCCCTGACGTCTCCTTAGCCAGTCCCAGTGCAGGGTGGGATGGCGCCCCCACGGCCCCTCCTTCTGCCTTCAGCCAGAAGCTCATGTTGGCCATTAACCTCTTCTGCCCAGTCTGCCCACGGCTGCCCGCCTGTCACCTCCATTAACACCGAGACTGTATGCCGGGGGTGCGAGGCCAGGATGGAGAGCTGGGCTCAGGGAAGGCAGGAAGGCAGCGCTTGGCATGGCCATTGCCCGGGGGCGGGCCTGTCTCATCCCCTCAGCATCGGCTCAGCCGGCGTCGGGACAGAACCCCACGCAGGTTCTGAGACCCTGGCATGTCTGTCCAGTGGCAGCTAGATGGAGCCCCCCACCCTGCCCAGAGTGGGCTCAGTACTGTGCAGGGTGCCTGGCCATGGCTGATGTCTGCCCTTTCACTAACAGACCCAGGGCCAGTGGCCACCTCAGAGCACTTCAAGGACCACAGGCCTCCTGGGGGCTTCCTCCTTCCCACCCACCCAAGGACCCCAGGTTGAGAGGGCAGCCTGGGCCTTGGCTGAAGGAGTCAAGGCCACACATGAACCTGGCACCAGCCCAAAGCTGCCAGCCGTGACGGGCGGGCCCACAGTGGGCTGCAGAGGGGACACGGATGGGGCTGGGCCGCCAAGTTGGCTGGAGTGCCCAGGGCAACGGCCCATGGGTATGGGGGGCACACAAAGAGCCTGGGAAGGTCGGGGGTCCTCCAGCTGAGGGAAAGGGGGCCCTGTTAGGAGGTGCCTGCATGGGGGCTCCAGGAGGAGCCATCAGCTCTAACACCCTGGGCCTGCACACAGCTGTGCCGGGCAGAGTCCTCCAGAGCAGCTCCGACCCGCCCAGAGCCCACTCCGGAGGGTCCGAGCGCCACCCCCCCGCCAGCGGCTCGGCTCTGGAAGACCCCTGCTGGGCCCTTCCCCACGCAGTGCTGTCCTCCCCTGGACTTGCCGGACACTGGCCACCCTGGGCTGGGTGTGGGGCTGACCCTCTGTGTGTCCTGGGTGTCTGGGACGGATGAGGCTGCTGGACGCTCCTTGGAGGGCCGAGCTGCTGGCGTGGGAGAGGGAGCCCCCATCCCAGGAGGCTGGGAGCTGGGTCAGAGCCTCTAGCCCGACAGAGAGGGCAGCCGGCCAGGCGGGTGTGATGGGAGGCTCCGGCTGCCCGGGCCCCCACTGGCTCCCAAGGCTGGCACTGGCCAGCAGTGCCCGGGGCCGACAGCAGCCATATGTTGGGAAGAGGAGCTGTGCGCGTCTCTCTGCGGCCCCCAGGGCCGGCCTTCCTGGGCCTGTCACAGACGATTTTCCCCGCCTGAGTGGCAGGCCGGCTGGCGGGTGGGGTGGCGGGGCCTGCAATGGGCAGGTGGGGCGGTGGGGCCCCAGCATGGCCCTCGGCACCAGGGCTGGCCACTCGGGGTGGATGCTGGGCCGTGGGCTCCCATCCCCCATACCTCACTAAGCACCCCACGCCCGATGTGGTCACCCCTGCCCAGGTCTAGGTTGGGGTCCTGGGGGAGCCCCAGCCGGCCAGCGGGGAGCGGGAACTCCTGCTAGGACGTGGGGAGGCAGCCAGGGGTCCACACTGGGCAGCCGTGCGCCCCGGGCAGGCGCGAGAGGGCCTGGAGCCGCGGCCCAGTCAGCCCAGCGCCCAGAGCTGTGGAAGGAGGCGGGGAGGCCACGGCTAATTTGTACACTAAGTGCTTCTGACAGGGATGCTTCACAAGTGAGAACTCGCCACCGCCCGCCCCGGGAAGGCCACTGTGGCCAGCAGTGCCAACAAGAGGGGCCAGGAGAGGGCACCGTGGGGGCACAGGGCTGGCAAAGGCCAGACACACGGGGCGATGGCACTGTTGGTGGAGGTGAGACCCAGGGGGACATGTGGGGGAGGGGAGAGGTCCGCATGGAGAAGGGGAACGGGGGCAGCCCCTGACACTCGCCCCCAGGGTCTGCCCTGCACCAGGGCTCTGCGTCCTGGCCAGCCAGTCCTCCCTGCACCTGCAGGACGCTGGCACCTGTCCGCCAACCTGCTCCTAACCACCTCCTCCAGGCCCCCACAGCGGCCCTCAACACCTGCTAGGGTCTGAGCTGTCCTCTGCAAACGCCCCCCTCCCTCACCACGTTCCTGTTGGAGCTGCCCCCAGCATTCGGGCTTCCATGTGGAGGGGAGGCTGCTGGCTGAGTCGGGGGCTCCGGGTAGCTGTGCGGGTGGGCACAGACCCCCTGCCTGCTGTGGGGACTCCTACCCTGACTCCAGAGGGTTCTTCTCGTGGGCCTCTGTCCTGAGCACCCCAGTGCTGGGGTAGCACAAGCCAGAGGTGGGTGCTGGGTGGGGGTGGGGCCAGGGACAGAGGAGCAGGAGATGTGGGGGTCCCAGACGCCCCAGGGCTGGACAGAGCCAGACTGTGCCAGACAGGAGTGGGTGCGAGCCCGGCCCCCACCCACAGGAGGAGTCTGGCGTGGCCACGCAGCCGTGGAGCAGTGGAGCAGGCGTCCTCGGGCTCCGAGGTGAGATGTGTTCTGGCAGCTCCCCGCCGCCCGAGGCCCGCCCGGAGCCAACACTGCTGGTGGCTTTAATTGCTTTCACATTCAATACGCTGCCCGTGACAGCCTCTTACCCTGCGCCGGCCGCGCCCCAGCCCCCAACTCTGCCCAGGGACGGCCTGGCTGCCAGACGGCAGTCTGACTGGGTGCTCTGCTCAGCAGCACCTGCGTGGGGCAGAGGCCACCCTGAGACTGGGCTGGGAGGGACCAGAAAACTTTTCTCCCCACGCGCCCCCTGCTCTGTCTGCTTCTGCCAGGAGACTGATGGGTTCAGACAGGGCCTCCACCGTGGACGCCTCGCTGGGGAAAGCCGCACTGCTGCTGTCCCATCTGCCCAGCCCTCGCTGGCCCCGCAGCCACAGGTTCTGGCCCTGCCCCCGCCCAGTGATCAGTCCTTCCTGGCAGGCTGGTTGCCCCTTACAGGTTTGAGTCACCCCACCATGGCCGTCTCCAGGGGTCCCCACCTGCAGGCCCGCCCGGGATGCCTGGGCAGGGCCTCTCCCTTGGACCTGCAACCTTCCCGCCCCTTCCACAGCGTCCGGAGTGGGGCAACAGCAGAACGGGGCGTGATTACAAAACAAAATGCTTTTATTTGGTCCATGGGAGCCTGAGTCGGAAGCCACTGTGGAGAATCCTACCGTAAAGGAACGGGCTGACAGTTGATAAAATAGTCTCTGTGTCACAAGAGCTGGCCATATTTACAGGGTTAAAAATATTCACAGCTCGGAGGACAGGGAGGCCAAAGGGGAGTAGGGAATGTTTCTCCAGGTGTCAAAGCCGCGGAAGCCCCTGAGGGGGCAAGGGGGGAGCGAGGGCAGGACTGGCCTGCTGCCTGGGGGCCAGGAGGGCTCCAGAGATCTGCACATCTACACTCCCTGGGCTGCGGGGGGCGGTGGGAACAGCTGAGCCCTGCTGATGCCCTCGATGGGCCGGGCCGAGGGATGGGATTGACTGAGGAGCCTGCTGGTCCCCAGCCTGCTGGGCAGCGGAGAGCGGTGCTGAGGACTGGCATACCCACAGCAGGCCTGGCGCCAGCTGCACCCGTCATGGCTTCGATCCTGGCGTGCGCTCCAGGAGTTGCATAGTGTCGCTGGGGGGTGACTGGCCAAGGGCCCCCCTTCTGAGACAGGCACAGCCCCCAGGATTTGCCACTCCACGCCAGGGCTCCAGGGACCCCGCCTGCCTGCAGGGGACAGGGACCTAGGCTCTGGGGGAAAGCTGACCTTATGCCCCCTGAGGGGTGGTCCCTGATCCCACCCCAGGGCCTTGGCCTCTGACACCCAGAATTGGTGTGGACAGAGCTACTGGCCGCCTCCCTGGCAGGAGACCCTAAGCCCACAAGGAGGGGTGGCCTGGCCTCGGCCCCCGCCCCCCCCGCGAGATGCTGGGCTCAAGGCTGGCAGGTCAGCTGGGCTGGCTCACAGTCCGCCTGGTTCGAGGTATTCTTCGTGGCGGCTGGGAGGCCTGGCCAGGCGGACTGTGGGTGCTCAGGGAGGGGAGGGAGGGGGGCGGGGTGCCCGTGGGAAGCTGCGCCCTGGGCTTGGCAGCTCCCTGGGCAGGGTCCTGAGATTCTGATTCAAGCGTCCTCTGTCGGGGTCTCCCTCATAAAGTGCGTGTGGGGGGTGGGGGTCCATCTGCGCACAGCCCCTGCCCAGGCATGGTGGTTACAGCGGCCGGGGTCCATGCAGACCGGCAATCTCTGGCGTGAGCGGGGGGCTGTGGGTGCCCTTCGAGGCCGTCCAGTCGCTGAGGAAGGCCTGGGCTGCCTTGCGATGTGCCAGGCGGTGGGTGATGGAGAAGCCGGCATTGCCCTCCAGCTGGGACAGGATCACCAGGACCTGCCTGGGGGAGAGGACCAGTGAGGACCAGTGGAGGGCAGGGTGGGGGTGGGGCGGGTCTATGCCCACCTGTGCAGAGGCAAGGGCAAGGGGAGGGGCAGGTGCAAGACACCTGTGCAAGGTGGGGACATGGGTTGTGGTGTGGGGGCACCTGTGCAGGGGTGGAGGTAGGGGTGGGGGCGTGGGCACACCTGTGGAGGGCTGGGGGTGGGGGTGGGGGTGGGTATGGATGCCCCCATGCAGGGGTGTTGGTGGGGTCATGGTGCACCTGTGCAGGGGTGGGGGCAGAGGCATGGGTGCACCTGTGTAGCGGTGGGCGTGTAGGCGCAGCCTTCCAGGGGTGGGGGTGGAGGTGTGGACACACCTATGCAGGGATAGGATCATGGGCACACCAGTGCAGGGGTGCGGCTGGCGGTGTGGGGACACCCTGAAGGGGTGGGGGTGGGGGAGCACCTGTGCAGGGGTGGCACACTGTCCTGGGTGCGCAGGCTGCCGCGCGTGGACACCACGTTGAAGCTGTCGCTGCAGTCACACTGCACGTGCAGGTAGGCCTTGGGGTGCCGGTTCTCCACCACCACGATGAGCCCCGCCCAGCCGTGTGTCAGGTAGTAGCAGGTCATGCCCTCTCGGCCCTGGACACAGGCAGGGCCGTTGTGGGACAGGGCAGGGCCGGGGCGCACTCCCCTCGCCCACACTGCCCTCCCCTGGGCCCCGCCCACCTCATGCCGCTCCCCGCGGCTCTCAGTGAGCAGGATGATGGCGTCGGCCAGCGTCGTGGGCTGGGCTTCCACGGGCTCCACCATGACCAGCCTCGAGCTGTACACGGCCAGCACGTGGCCTGGCGGCTCCGGGACAGCTCTCGGGACCCCCGCTGAGGGGCTGGAGGCTACAGGGAAGGGTGTGTGAGCTGCTGCCCTCCCTGAGGGCCCGGGGCGTGGGCCTGGGGCAGGGGGCGCGTACCTTGTGGGGCGGGGGTGCCCGGCGGGGGTGGCCCCCAGTGGTTGAAGGCGCAGCACACCACAGCGTACTCGCCCGGCTCCAGCATGACGTCACAGCTGACAAACTTCTTGACTGCACGCTTGCTGTGGGCCAGGAGGCGGCCGAGGCTGAGGTGGCCGCCCCTGCCGAACGTGGCCCGGAACACCAGGATGCACAGGTCCAGCAGGTGGCTGTCCACGGCGTCCGAGCGCCTGTGCCAGACACCGCGGGCCAGGGTCACGCGACGTCACGGCCGCCAGCCCAGCCCAGCCCAGCGGGGCCCCGCACCCCACCTGCTGCCCTCCTGGAAGAGCGCAAACTCCAGTGAGGCCCGCTCCAGCACCGTGAGCGCCGTCACCCCCACGGGCGCGCTGGCCGAGCTGGGAAAGCAGCCCTGCACACGGGCCTCCTGCCAGTCCGAGTGCACCTTACAGATGTCCACGGAGTCAAAGTACCTGGGGGCAGCGGGAAGGCGCAGCCCTGAGTGCACCACGGCCCACACCTCTGAGGCCCAACTCCTGGCACCTCCGCAGGCCGGTGACCACAGCGGGCGCGAGCTGCTCTGTTGCTGCCCTCTTGCAGCCCGGCCCTGGGGACCCATCCCTGAGGCCTATACCGAGGTGGCTCTTCAGGGTGCTGGGCCCTGGTGGACTTGGGGACAGTGGGGCTCTGCTGACCTAGGTGGACCTGGATTCTGAGGTCAGCGCTCCGGAGCCGAAGCCCTAGGTCCCACGTGCGGTGGACCACGGGCAAGCCGTGGTCTCCATCCCAGGTCAGCAGTAGGGCCAGGCTTGTTCCCCAGAAGGACCTGGCCCTGGGAAGGCGGGTCGTGGCACACACCCCCACGGAGCAGGTACCTGACGAAGTCACCGTACTCCATCCAGAAGACGCCCTCGCTGCTGCCGTGCGGCATGAGCTCACCACGCAGGTGCCCTGGCCAGTGCGGCCACTCGTCCGACCAGCTGCCGTTCCAAGAGAAACGACCCCAGGGGTTTCGGAGCCGCAGAAGCCTGGAGACCAAGGGGTGAGGGTCAGAACTGCGCCACCCAAGGCTCCACGGCACGCTGCCCACCCTCAGCCAGCCCGGCCCCACCTGGTGCCCTGGACATCTCGAACATCCAGGATGGAGTAGGCATGGCGGGGGCGCAGGCCCAGGCTCTCATAGGCTGAGTCGTCCACCTTCATGTTGCCCCCACCACAGGAGGCGCCCATGAGGAACCTGTGCGGCAGAGCAGCCCTTGCTGACCGCGGTCCTCACTGAGTGGGGCCCTCGCTGACCAGGGGCATGGATGACCAGGGACCCTCGCTGGCAGAGGTCCTCACTGAGCGGGGCCCTCACGGCATGGCTGATTGGGGGGCTTGATGACCGAGGCCCTCGCTGGCCTTGACCCTGCCCCCAGGGCAGGCAGGGGCAGCAGAGGAGGGCCCACCTCCTGCCTGTGGGGACCAGGTGAGGTATGTTCAGGGGGTCTGGCCCAGCGCCCTCCACCGTGCCTGAGGCGCACAGGGCCTGAGTGGGGGTGGCTCCGGGCTCTGTGGCTCCTGAGTGGGCAGGCAGCAGCACTGCCCAGGGTCAGCTGAGAGGAGGGCCACTCCCCGCAGGCCTCCTGGGGTCGAGGCAAAGACCCGCTGACCAGGGTGTGGCCAAACTCAGAACACGCCCCTCATGCCTGCTCTGAGGAGGGTGATGGCACTGGGCTCACCCCACAGCCCAGGTCAGGATGTGGCCTTCCTGGCATGGGAACGCTGGCTCCAGCCCCGCCTGGGGAAGGGGAGGTGATGGGGGCCACGGCCTGGCCACGCAGGGTCAGCCCACTGCAGGGGCAGCTCGTGGACGCAGAACTGGGTCAGAAGGCGCCAGCCCCACGTCTCCCCCGTCCGCCTCGCGTCTCCTCCCAATGCGGCTGACCACGCAGCGCCCCCCCTCTTACCCAGCCTCCTTAGAACTCAGCATTTTGGCCCAGATGAGGTCAGTGTCAACGGGCTCCTCGCGGGGGTTAGTGGAGCTGACCTGCAGCGCCAGGCTCTCGCAGGGGGCGCCGGTGAGCGTGGCCAGGCCTTCGATGGCGCGGCCCGCCTGGAGCGCGAAGTAGGAGCCGTGCAGCTTGGCCAGTGCCTTCTCGATGAGGGCCACCCACAGCTGCTTCCGCTGCGCCTGCAGAGGGCCGGGGTCAGAGGCCACCCTCACCTGCTCCCCACACCGCACCCCCTGCGAGGAGAGGAGGCTGCCGGCCTCGTTGGCGGGGCAGGGGGCCGGGGTCAGAGGCCGCCCCACGCGCCGCCCCACCTGTGAGAAAAGGAGGCAGCCGGCCTCGTTGGCGGGGCAGGGGCCGGGGTCAGAGGCCGCCCCACGCGCCGCCCCACCTGTGAGAAGAGGAGGCAGCCGGCCTCGTCACAGGGCAGCATGTCGTCCACCAGCACCGTGGTCCACGTGCCGTCCTTACACAGCCGCACCTGGTAGGCGCCCTCCGCACACAGGCTGCGTGTGACCATCACCCGCTCCACCAGGTCCGGCCGCTCCGCCAGCACCGCCAGGGCACTCAGGAACCTGCAGAGCATGCGGGTGCCCTCAGGGTGACCGCAACTGGACACCAGCCCACCTGCCCCACCCCGGCTCGGCGCGGGCCTCACCAGCAGTTCCCCAGCAGCCCCTGCAGGATGTCCGAGGGCCGCAGTGTGTGGAACACAGACCACGAGGCTCTGTGGTCCCTGAAGACGGAGCAGTTGATCTCCTGGGGCCGCAACCACTGCTTCACGCGCTGCTGCACGCTGTCGCCCGTGGGGAAGCCCACAGACTGGGGCCCGGGCGGGAAGCTGTCGTCCACAAAGCTCACGTTGTTCTGTAGAGACCACAGCCACATGCTCAGGCTGGGCAGGGCGGCCTCACTCTACCCGGCAGGGACAAGACCCCACCCAGGAGAGCACCCGAAAGCAGTGCCTGACCCCGAAGGAACGGGTGGAGCGCGTACAGCCCACAGACCTGGTGCTCGGCTGCCCTGCCCTGTGTGGAGGGCGCCCTCACCCTGGCGATGGGTGGGGAGCAGGGAACATGTGGGCCCAGGGGCACAGCACAGCCCCCAGGGGGAGGTGTGGGGATGGCAGCCCGGCTCTCGCCCTGGCCCTGCTGGAGAGGGTGCAGGCTGCTCCTCTGCTGACCTGTGGGGACACCAGCCTGGACTTGGAGAGCAGAGCCGGGCACATCCCAGCCTCCCACTTCAGCAGCATCTCCATGCTGCCCCTGGGAAGCCCTAGCCTCCCTGTGACGGATATATCAGAAGGGACCCTGGGCCCTCCTGGCCACGGAGGAGGGCTGAGGTGGGTAAAAGTCGTGCATCTTGGTCACTGGCAAGGACCTGGGGTCAGGAGGCCAAGCAGGACCCCAGGGAAGCGGGTGCTGCCCTCCCCTCACGTCTTGGGCCTCGTGGCTTCTCCCCAGCTGACAGCCAGACCCCAGCCTGACAAGGGGGAGGGCAGGAGGAGGGCGAGGGGCGTGCCTCACCTCCCGGCAGAAGGCCACGATGTTCTCCCAGAGCGCCTTGGCCTCGCCCTCGTCCGTCTGCCGCCGCTGCTCCACATGCATGCTCTCCCTGCGCCGCAAGGGTGCAGCCCCCCGCCGCTGGGCCACCAGGAGCTGGGGCGTGTGGCAGGCGGCGCAGTGTTTGGCCCGCGGCGCGTTGAGCAGGGTGCAGGCAGGGCAGGCCCACTGGCCCGGGCGCTCGGGCAGGAGGCGGGCGGCCTTCTGAGCCGAGGGGACCCGTCCGCAGCTTCTGCCACAGGGGCCGGGCTTGTCGGCCCCGCAGTCGGGGCAGTGGGCAGGGGGCTCGCCATGCTCCTGGAAGCCGTGCAGTTTGGAACAGCCGCAGGCGGAGCACCTGGGGGCCGCGGTGGGGTTCCTGAGTGTGCACTTGGCGCACGCCCAGGTGGTGAAGTCGGGGCTGGAGGGGCTGGCGGGTGTGTAGCGCACTGTGTCTCCGGCCAGGTCGATGACGTCGCTGCCCGAGGTGGAGCTGCCGGCCTCTGCGCGGCTGGAACCGCCCTCCGCAGCCTCTTCCTCCAGCACGCTCAGCCGTTTGCTGGACAGCAACTCTGCCAGGCGGGCGGCCCCAGCCCAGCCTGCGCCCTGGGGTCCCCTGCAGCCGGCAGGGGGTGAGGGCTGGGCAGCCTCAGGCACCGGCGGCTGCAGCTGGGGGGGGGACCTCACGTCGGCTCCGAGGCACGGGGTTGTTCTGCAGGGCGGACGAGAAGGGACTGAAGGGTGGGACCCGGGGCGGCTCCGGCTCAGCCGCTGGGCCCTGGCTGGTGGCGGGGGGGTTGGCCTCGGCACCTTCCCCAGGGAGGCCAGGTGGAGGTGCAGCAGGTGCGACGTGGAAGCCTGCTGGGGCCACCACTTCCGGGACCACCAGGGCCTCAGGAGGGATTCGTGGCAGCGAGAGCCTGCGTGGGCCCCCGCAGGCGGAGCAGGAGCTGGCCACGGGCGTGTTGTGCAGCGTGCAGCGTGGGCAGGCCCAGCCCCCTCCGGGCTCTGCTACCCCCTCCTCTTCCTCCTCGTCCTCTCGTTGCCCGCTGGTGGGCTCTGTGCTCACCAGCCCCGAAGTCCTCACTGCACCTGCTTCCTCTTGGCAGCTGCCCTTGGGTTCCCCCAGGATGGCGGGCGGCCTGGGGAGGACCCCGTTGAGCACGGGCAGAAGGGCAGCCCCAGGCGCAGGCTCCGGGGCAAAGCCGCACACCTCGCAGGCCTCCTTGCCCAGGAAGTTGCGGAAGGTGCAGCGGGCGCAGGGCCATTTCTGCTCCTCCACGCTGAGCCGCAGGATGTGGTTGAGGTCGGGCTTGTGCCGCGGGGCCTCGCAGATGGAGCACTGGAGCTGGCCGGCCGGATTCAGGAAGGTGCAGCGCGCACAGGACCACTCTCCGACTGTGGCCATAGACCCGGGCGAGTGGGTGTGGCTGCAAGGGAAGGTGCTCATCAGGGCCACCCTGGGAGGTCCTGCGCAGCTGGACCCCACCCTCCCCTCGGACTGGGGAAGGACCCGTGGCTCTGCACCCCAAAGCCAGACTGCTCCTCAGGGGCACTGCCTTCTCTGTCACCAGGCCTGTGGCTGTGGGGTGGGCACCCAGGGGCTGCAGCGCAGATGGCAGGGAGGGCCCAGCCAGGCTCAGGATCAGGTCTTCCCAGGCGCGGAAGAAGAGGTGCTCAGGCCTCGGGGAGGGCAGGTGGGCTGTGCCTCTGGCTCCTGCAGACCCCGACAGGCTGGCCAGAGCCTGGGGAAGGCATGGGCTGATCTGAGCAAGGGGCCTCCTCACGCCACAGCACAGCCTCCAAGACAGACTGGCTGCTCTGCCTGGCAGAAAAATCAATTGTTCTTGTTAATATGGCATGAATCTTGTGCTTCTAACGGCAGGCTTCATCTAAAACCTTTCGGTTCAGGAAGAAAGAAAACTTCCCTCTTCATAAGAAGCAAAAAAACCCGAAAAGCCTCCGCGCTGCCTACCCTGTGCTTGGCCCCGCATGGCGAGGGCTCTGAGCTGCTCCTGGCAGAGCGGACGGGGAGGAATGCATCGGGCGAGGCTCAGGGCATCTATCTGGAGCAGAGACCCAAGGCGGGGACCTGCTCTAATCGTGGGCTTCTGTGAAAAGCCCAAGGAACCTGCGTGCAGATGGCCATGCCTCTCCCGGCTCACCCACTTGGAGAAGGGCGTGGATGCCGCTCAGGCCGCACAGAGCACATGCAGCGGCTGGCGGGCCCCTGGCCACATCTGCACACCCCCGGCCCGGCTGCCCAGGTGTCCGGACCGGTCTCCTGTGGGTGGCAGAGTGGCCGTGACCTCTGCAGCCCCCACTCTGGAAGGTGCCTTTGTGGACTCTGCACCCCCTGACGGCAGGTGAAGCTGAGGTGGGCGGGGCCTCCTGGGACATGCCCTCCCTTTGGCCCTTTGGCCGCTGCAGGCCAGCAAGGGCAGCCTCATAGGCTCCAGAGAGGAGAAAGAAAACGCAGGTCCCCAGGACCAAAAACTTGCCAGCAAAGTGTCTGCTGGTCCTGCCAGTGCCTGGGACACATGAGAAGACACCTTTTGGAGCCGTCCTGTAAAAACCCAGGTGAGGCAGGAAGACAGCCTGCAGCCCAGGAGGGCTTAGATGAAACATGGCTGAGGTGGGCGGAGGCAGGCCTCGGCCCTTCTGTGGCTGAAGCCTGTGAGTGGCGCGCCCCCGCCCCCGCCATCTGTGCTGTGCAGGCCTCTCTCAGTGGGCCGAGGTGGAAGGGGGTCGGGGTCCGTGGCCGGGAGACCTGGGCAGGGCCCCCACTCTCCTCCCTTCCCTCGTGTACTGCTCTGGTGTCCGCAACCCCCGGCCACTCCCTCAGCCGCGCTCTCCTCTGCAGGGCCTGGGCAGGCTCCTGGGCTCAGAGACCTGAAATCCTTATGACAATTTAGATAGAGTTTGACTCGATGCCCAGGAGGAAGTGCAGCGCCTGATCATGGCTCACTGCAGCCTTGGCCTCCGGAGGCCAGACCACCAAAGCCCGCAGCAGGAGTCCAAAGACCCAAAGCAAGGACTCAGCAAGGTCCTTCCAGAATTCTCAACCCAGAGCGTTCCTACAGCTGCAGCACACACTGCTCAGCAAGGCGTCCGTGCCACTGTGGGAGGCACGCAGGCGTGCCTTCGAAGGAGACAGCTCGGGAGACGATGGAGCGGCTCCTTACTGCACACGGGCCAAGTGGAATGGAAAATGGAGGCCACTGTCCAGAAAAATCCAACACAAAAGACCCGTGTGCCCAGTTAGCTGGGTGTTACCAACACTCAGCTCCAATGAAGTCGCTCGCTGAGTGCAAGACAGAGCCCACCCTGAAGCAGCTAGGATGGCAGCACCCGGAGCATGGAGGCCATGGGCCCGTGACCGTGGCAAAGGGTGCCATCCAGGTCCTGGGATGTGGCCTCTTTCTTAGAAAAAGTGAGGAGGAGGAAATTCATTCGGTCTCCCAGGGCCTCGGTCAAGGCCACCAGAGCCGAGGCTGGGGCTTCCTGGGGAGCTGGCTGAGGAGGCCACACCCAGAAACACAGATGCCCTGTCTGGTGGGGACAGCCCTGCGCCAGGCAAGCTCTCAAGGCCCCTGGGGTGCTAGACATGGTCAGCAGCTCTTCCTGCTGTGCCCAGGGTGGCTGATGCCACAGGGGCTTCTGCCCAGAGCTCTGAGGGGTAGGGGTGGTGCCCCCTCGGGCTGGGCTGCATTCTCCTGGGCTGGCCACAGCCCAGTGCTGGTCAGCCTTCCCAGGTGGGGTCTGCCCTTATTGCCTCTGAACTAAGCTGCTGCTGCCTGACCTGTTGCTTACCGATTAAGGGAGCTGCACCCAGCAGTCAGCTGCACAGGGACCTCCGGCCCGTGCCGGCCACATGCTGTGGCAGGGAGACACGGGCTGCGCCCAGCTCTCCCAGGCTCCGCAGGCCTGTGCACCACCTTTTCCTCCTTATGGGAAAACCTGCCCTCCGGAGGCATTGTGAGAATTCAGCGGTCACCAGGGCCGAGAGCTGGGCGAGCAGCTCTTCAGTCAACACAAGGACCGCCCTTGACCTTCCCCTGTCCCAGCGTCCTGTCACGGCGGAGCAGGGGTCACCTGTGTGTGGGGAGGGCTCCATGTGTCCCTGGGGGTGCAGCAGGGTTCACCTGTGTGTGGGGAGGGCTCCGTGTGTCCCTGGGGGTGCAGCACGGTTCACCTGTGTGTGGGGAGGGCTCCGTGTGTCCCTGGGGATGCAGCACGGTTCACCTGTGTGTGGGGAGGGCTCCCTGTGTCCCTGGGGGTGGAGCAGGGGTCACCTGTGTGTGGGGAGGGCTCCGTGTGTCCCTCGGGGTGGAGCAGGGGTCACCTGTGTGTGGGGAGGGCTCCGTGTGTCCCTCGGGGTGGAGCAGGGGTCACCTGTGTGTGGGGAGGGCTCTGTGTGTCCCTCGGGGTGGAGCACGGTTCACCTGTGTGTGGGAGGGCTCCGTGTCCCTCGGGGTGGAGCAGGGGTGGTGGGTGTACACGGTGGGGGGGATCCTTGTGAGCCCCTGCCTGCCTCCCTGCAGGGTGTTGCCTGCGTCCTCTCTCCCACTGCTCTCATCCATCTCTAGCCTGCGGCCTGCTCGCCATGCACCTTGGGGCCTGCTTGCAGCAGCAGACAGGAGCTGCCTGGAGCTCAGGCCCCACAGCAGCCAGCCGTGGCAGGGGTAGCCCCAGGGATGCCAACCCATGGGAGAGCCTGGCGGGAGGCCAGGTTGAAAGAGAAAGAGCCCTGCGGTGTCCCCAGACACCTCGGCCTGACTCTGCGGGCCAGATCCCAAGTCTAACACATACCTGACACGCCTGGCACAGCAGACGCCACGCCTCCCCCGCGGCTCCGCCCTTCCCCGTAGCCAGAACTGCGGCTGCCACCACTCTACCCACTGATAGTCCCAGGCAGTCCCTGGGAATCCCAGGAGTGTGGCCTGCAGCCACTGAGAGCTACAGACTGAACAGGTCCTCCTGAGGTCTGAAACTCTGGCCCAGTGCTCAGAAAGAAGGGGCCAAGAGTGTTCCGGCCTCTGGAAGAAGAGAAAGGGAATAACAACTTTTTTTTTTTTTTTGAGTCGGAGTTTCGCTCTTGTTACCCAGGCTGGAGTGCAATGGCACGACCTCCGCTCACCGCAGCCTCCGCCTCCTGGGTTCAGGCAATTCTCCTGCCTCAGCCTCCTCAGTAGCTGGGATTACAGGCACACGCCACCATGCCCAGCTGACTTTTTGTATTTTTAGTAGAGACGGGGTTTCACCGTGTTGACCAGGATGGTCTCGATCTCTTGACCTTGTGATCCACCCGCCTCGGCCTCCCAAAGTGCTGGGATTACAAGCGTGAGCCACTGCGCCCGGCTGGGAATAACAACTTTTTCTGCGTTTTTCTATACTACTTGAGTTGTTTTTTTGAGACAGGGCCTCACTCTGTTGCTCAAGCTGGAGTATGGCGGTGATCACAGCTCACTGCAGCCCCAACCCTCCCAAGCTCAGGTGATCCTCCCACCTCAGGGCTTATGTTTTTATTTATTTATTCTTTTGAGATGGAGTTTCACTCTTGTTGACCAGGCTGGAGTGCAGTGGGGAGATCTTAGCTCACTGCAACCTCCACCTCCCAGATTCAAGCGATTCTCCTGCCTCAGCCTCCCAAGTAGCTGGGATTACAGGCGCCCGCCACCACATCCGGCTAAGTTTGTGTTTTTGGAAGAGATGGGGTTTCTCCATGTTGGGCAGGCTGGTCTTGAACTCTTGGCCTCTGAAAGTGCTGGGACTACAGGTGTGAGCTCCCACTCCGGCCTGTTTACGTATTTAGAGGCAGAGTCTCACTCTGTCACCCATGCTGGAGTGCAGTGGCACAATTTTGGCTCACTGAAACCTCCACTTCCCCGGTTCAAGCAATTCTGCTTCAGCCTCCCTGCTAGCTGAGATTACAGGCATGCGCCACCACGCATGGATAATTTTTTGTTTTTAGTAGCGGTGGGGTTTCACTATGTTGGTTGGTCTTGAGCTGCCCACCTCAGATGACCCACCCGCCTCGGCCTCCCAAAGTGTTGGGATTACAGGCGTGAGCCACTGCACCCCGCCTGCTTAAAGTCTTAATGAATGTATGGAACCTCTATGATGAAAAAAATTCCACTAAGGTAAAATTTTAAACTGTGACTTGAAAAAACATAGCGCTGAATTTAAAAACCTTGAACTTTGGCCGGGCGCGGTGGCTCAAGCCTGTAATCCCAGCACTTCGGGAGGCCGAGGCGGGTGGATCACGAGGTCAAGAGATCGAGACCATCCTGGTCAACATGGTGAAACCCCGTCACTACTAAAAATACAAAAAATTAGCTGGGCATGGTGGCACGTGCCTGTAATCCCAGCTACTCAGGAGGCTGAGGCAGGAGAATTGCCTGAACCCAGGAGGCGGAGGTTGCGGTGAGCGGAGATCGCGCCATTGCACTCCAGCCTGGGTAATGAGAGTGAAACTCCGTCTCAAAAAAAAAAAAAAAACACCTTGAACTTTCTTTTGTACACATAAATTTAGTAAAAAATAAGAGCAAGAGCAGCCGTCACCCGTGGAAAGTATGTGGGGTGCTTGCTGCCTGGCTGCCACACGGCATTCAGCATGCACTCCAGCCACGCAGCCACTGCCCTGGGAGCCACGGCCCAGCCCAGCAGCTCTTCTCTAAATAAATGGAAAGGAAAGAACACGTGTAAAGCCGGACATGTAATCCCAGCATTTGGGAGGCTGCTTGAGCCCAGGAGTTTGAGACCAGCCTGGGCAACAGTCAGACCCTGTCTCTACAAACATTATTTATTTATTTATTTATTTTGAGACGGAGTCTTTCTCCCTCACCCAGGCTGGAGTGCAGTGGTGCAACCTCAGCTCACTGCAACCTCTGCCTCCTGGGCTCAAGTGATTCTCCTGCCTCAGCCTCCAGAATAGCTGGGACTACAGCCACGCACAACCATGCCCAGCTAATTTTTGTATTTTTAGTAGAGACAGGGTTTCACCATATTGGTCAGGCTGGTCTCAAACTCCTGACCTCAGGTGATCCACCCACCTCAGCCTCCCAAAGTGCTGGGATTACAGGCGTGAGCCACCGCGCCTGGCCAACTTTTTTTTCTTAATTAACCAGCTATGGTGGTGCACACATGTAGATCCAGCTACTTAGGAGGCTGAGACGGGAGGTTCGCTTGAACCCAGGAGGTAGGAAGTGCAGTGGGTGTGATCACAGCACTGCACTCCAGCCTGCGTGACAGAGTGAGACCTTGTCTCAAGAATCAAGCAATCAATTAAGAAAGAAAAAAAAGGCTGGGTTCAGTGCCTCACATCTGTAATCCCAGCACTTTGGGAAGCCAAGGAGGGCAGATCAAGAGGTCAGGAGTTTGAGACCAGCTTGGCCAATGTGGTAAAACCCCATCTCTATTAAAGATACAAAAATTAGCTGGGCGTGGTGGCACGTGCCTGTGATCCCAGCTACTTGGGAGGCCGAGGCAGGAGAATCGTTTGAGCCCAGAAGGTGGAGGTTGCAGTGAGCCGAGATCACGCCATTGTACTCCAGCCTGGGAGACACGGCAAGACTTTGTCTCAAAAAAAAGAAAAGAAGAAAAGACAGGTGTGGGTGGACGAGACGTGGCTGGCCACCAGGGAAATGCAGAGCAAAGCTAAGGAGAAACCAGCTCCCACCCCCTGGGATGGCCAGAATCACAAGGACAGGCAACAGCAGGAGCTGTCAAGGGGGGGAGGCCGGGATCCACCCCAGCGTTGGTGGTGGGAACCAAGTGACACAGCCACTGTGGAAAACAGCTTGGTGGTTTCTTAGGAAGTTGCGGAGGTTTACCACACACCCCCGCAATCCCACTTCTAGGTACCTATGCAAGATAAATGAAAACAGGACCACGCAAAACCTCGTAAAGAATGTCCACAGCATCATTCACAGAAGCCAAGTGGAAGCAACCCTCGTGTCCATGAACAGATAAAATGCGGTTCATCCCGACACGGAGCGGTGAATGGCACCGCCACGGCGGCAATGTGCATGAACCTGGAGGGCATGAGGCCACGTCAAGAAGCCAGACACCGGGCCACGCGTCCTGTGGCTCCACAGCCACGTACCTTCTGCACAAGGCAAACCCAGGCAGGAAGCCGGTGGGTGGCCATCTGGGGCTGGGGTCTTCTGGGTTGTGGGATGCTGTAACGCTGGACACATGATGGCTGCACAACTCTACAAACGGCCAAGTGACCGAACTGCACCTTTGTAACAGGCGAATCTGGTAAGTTCCACTTCCACAAGGCTGCTGTCGGCACACGTGGAGACGCTCACTGGGACGCCACTGGTGCAGGGGCACCAGGAACTGGGGACGTACTCCAGTGCCACCACGTGCAGGAGGAGCACAGAGGCCCTTCCCCTGCCGACCACCAGGCCCCACACCGGCCCCTGGCCACCCACCGTGGCCTTGCCCACTGCCTGCAGCTCCACACTCATCCCTCCCACCTGGGGGCCAGCAGAGAGCAGGACGCCGTCCCACGTGGGAGCCTGGCAGGCCCTTTTGAGGGCTAGATGCAGGCACATTGCCTGCAGGAGCCAGTCCTGGACACTGAGAGGAATGGCTGCCACTGCAGCTCCGGCCCCAAGGCCCCGGGCCCCTGAGTATCCCTGCCTCCAGTGAGGGCACAGGACGGGTGATGGCAGGGGCATCAGTGGGGTCCACCCAGTTCAGAGCTCACCGCCTGGGGTTCCCCAGGGACCCAGCAGATAGCCAAGGCCACGGCAATAGCTACGAAGAGCCAGCGCATGGAGGAGCCCGCACCAAACCATGTGGCCCGTGACCCCGGGGGGCAGCAGGCAGAGCCCAGCAAGTGCCGGCAGCTCTGAAACCGTGGGTGGCAGGCAGCATGCCCAGTGCCTGTAGCTGGCGGGGACCCCAGCCCACAGAGAAGCTTCAGAAACAGCCTCTGCGTGGAACAGCACAGCCTGTGAGAAACACAGGGCCGCTGGGACTGGACGCACATGCCCCATCCCACCACTGACCAGCCAAGCTGAGGCTGGGGTCCCGGACCTGCTCAGCTCCTGCTTAGCGGGGAAGAGAGCTGCCACAGCTGCAAGGGGCAGGGACCCACTTCTCTGCAAGCACCTCTGCCATGGAGAAAGGCCTCCTACCCCAGGGACCCCTCCGGGGCTGCCCCTCCCCACCTCTTACCTTCGGGCCCGGGGGCGTGGCGGCTGGTGCTGCCGGCTGACCAGGGGACCTCCCCAGACAGGCCCCCCTGAGCCGCTCCTACACCAGCCAGCCGCTGCCGGGGGGCCTGGGTAGGGCGGCCCCCCGGGGAAGCTGTGGTCCGACTCGGTCTCCGCGGCCAGGGAGGAGGCGGAGCTCCCCATGGCCCCCGGGCCGGCGGCCGTGCTGACAGCCGGACCTGGTCACCTCTGGCCAGCAGCGGGCGAAGCGGAGCATGGAGGGAAGAGACAGGGCGGCCGGCTGGTCAGAGTGACACACAACAAAAATAAACAGACAGAGAGAGAAAATAGAGAAGAAACAGCATGATTCACACACGTGGCCCAGGAGGACTTCCCAGCATGCCCAGCCGTCTGGGTGGGCTGAGGGGATGTCTCGGTGCAGGGCCTGGGGCCCAAGTTCAGTACCCATGGGGCTCCTCCCTCAGGGGCCCAGGACGCACCCTGGCCCCCAAAAGCCCAGCATCACATCTGTAGTATTCAGAGATGTAGGATTCCTTGGTGAGAAAAGAGATCACACTCTTGTGCTTTATCACAGAAGAAGGGACAAGGGGACGTCTACCCGAGTGGAGGTGTGGGAGGTAGCAGAGGGTGTCGGGAACTGCTGCAGGCCAGGCCAGATGGAGACCTGGAGCCGGGTCACACAGCTGCCCACACGCCATTCTGGAGCCCTCCAGAAGGACGGCAGCCCAACTGGGTGCACCCACAGAGCCACCCCTGCTGGGAGGCCCGGGAGAGGCACGGGCTGTCAGGGTTTCTGGCGGTGGCCCACCTGTGCTTCCGGGAAGGCCATTTTGCCCCCTCTGGCTGAGGAGAGATCAGATACAGCCGAGAACATTAACCCTGCGAAGGGAAGACCCTGCCAGCTGCAGGCAGCTGCTCTGTCCCCACCAAGATCGGGGCCAAGGTGGGCATCCAGGCAGGCTGGCTGGCAGTGGGTTGACCAGCAGCCCATCTGGCCCAGCAGTTCCTGCCCCTCAGGTCCTGTCACACACTCACAGCCCTTCTTCCAGCTTGTGATTTGGTCTCTGGGACACAGCCCGTGTCAGGATAGAGCTTGGGAGGAAACGGTACAATATGTGTCAAAGCTGCCGTGCGTGGAGCATCACTTGAGCCTAGGAGTTCGAGACCAGCCTGGGCAACACAGTGAGACCCTGTCTCTACAGAAAATTTAAACCGCCTGGGCGTGGTGGTGTGCACCTGCAGGCCTCGCTTCTCAGGAGGCTGACGTAGGATGTTGGCTTGAGCACAGGAGGTCAAGACCACAACCGGCCAAGGTCACAACACTGCACTCCAGCCTGGGCAATACAGTGAGAACTCTCTCTCTTTCTCTTTTTTTTTTTAGACAAGAGTTTCGTTCTTGTTGTCCAGGCTGGAATGCAATAGTGCAATCTTGGCTCGTTACAACCTCCGCCTCCAGGGTTCAAGCGATTCTCCTGCCTCAGCCTCTTGAGTAGCTGGGATTACAGGTGCCTGCTACCACGCCCAATTTTTTGCAGTTTTTAGTAAAGATGTGGTTTCACCATGTTGTTCAGGCTGGTCTTGATCTGCTGACCTCAGGTGATCTGCCTGCCTTGGTGGCTCAGGGCACAGGAAGGACGGGTCCAGCGTGGGGCGCGGACCACAGCCCAGCCCAAGGCCTTGTCCAGCCCGCAAGTCAACAATGGCTTTTAAAAACCATCCTCTGAGGCCGGGCGCGGTGGCTCAAGCCTGTAATCCCAGCACTTTGGGAGGCTGAGGCGGGTGGATCACGAGGTCAAGAGATCGAGACCATCTTGGTCAACATGGTGAAACCCCGTCTCTACTAAAAATACAAAAAATTAGCTGGGCGTGGTGGCGCGTACCTGTAATCCCAGCTACTCAGGAGGCTGAGGCAGGAGAATTGCCTGAACCCAGGAGGCGGAGGTTGCGGTGAGCCGAGATCGCGCCATTGCACTCCAGCCTGGGTAACAAGAGCGAAACTCCGTCTCAAAAAAAAAAAAAAAAAAAATTAAAAAAAAAAATAAATAAATAAAAAAAATAAAAACCATCCTCTGTGCAAGGTGAGAGTTACACAAAATTCAGGTCTCGGGGTCTGCAGGAGTCTGAATGTGCACAGCCTGGCTCACTCACCCACAGGTGCTTCTCCCCAGGGACCACCCTGTGCTCACATCTGCCCTCAGAGGGGCACCTGCAGGCCAGGCCGGAGAGCGCCGCGCAGTGTGGAAGGAGCCACAGGAGTCGTGGTGGGTCTCCTGGCAGCCACATGAGACGGGGGAAAGGAACAGGTAAAACAGCGTGCTGTGCAGTCTCTGAGACACGTCGCATCCGTATGAAATGAACATAAAACACAATGCAGACATTCAGGACCCATTCTCCAGTCCGGGTTCCCGGACACTACTGTGACCGCCAGCTCATCTCACGTGGACACGCCACACTACAGGCCCTGCAGCCACGAGTGCTGACGGCCTCCACAAGAGGCAGCCCTCAAATGCGCAGGACACAGGCAAGGTCCACGGGGTCTCAAATGCCACATGGAAGCAAGGCCAGGAGCCCAGCACACATGGAGCAGGCTTGCCAGCAGGGAGCCCACATCAACCCAGGCCTCTTGCGTAGCTATGCCAGATGCTGAAGCAACCCAAACAGCTCCTGCACTCCACAGCCCATGCCACGCAGGTGTCGCTCATGGGAGATGGCTGGACATTTCTGACACTCCTCTTCTGCAGCCAAATCCTGAGCAGGGTGGGGCAGGGCTTGGGTGGGAGCCTGGACTAGTGGAGGTGCCCACGGGCAGGCAGGCACCAGGTCCTGAGCTAGTTTGGCTCTGACAGGAGCCCTGCCCCTGTTCTCTGTGAGGACTGCACGCCCTCAGGGGCCAGTCTCAGCTCCTTCAACTCTTGCCCACCCACCCACCCACCCATTCACCCTCGTGGCACGTGGAGTCACGTGCGCTGCCAGAAACACAGCCTCCCACAAGGCCCCGCCTGCTCCTCATTGATGCCTTCAGCAGGCCGACGGCAGAAACGGTGCCCAGCTGCACTCGGGCAGGAGGTGAGCTGCTCTCGGCCTCCCGCTCCTCTGGGCTTGCTCAGAAAACCCTCCTGGAGCCAGAGCTGGTCTCAAGCAACTGACCCTGCGGGACCCACCTGGACAAGAGGGAGGCCTGTCCTTGGGTGGGAACTGCATTTACAAGACTCTGAAGGGAGGGGACCCCAGGAAAGAGGGGCAAGGAGTGGTGAGAAGGAAGGAAGGCAGAACCAACCAGGGACAGCCCCCAGGCAGGGGGGCAGAGACAGGTGCCTCTCAGGTTCAGCAGTGCCATCTCTGGAGGTCCCCCAGAGAGTGCTGGAAAATCTAGGCCGTGGGTGCTAACTCCGGCCAGACCTCGGGAGGGGGGTCATCACACCAGGGCCACTCGCCTGAGGACACCAGGGACAGGGCCTGCTGCAGCCAGCCAGGGGCTGTCAGGAGGAAGCTCGCTCGCCACTCCCAGGGCCTGGGCACACGTGAACCACCACATGCTGCCCAGTGCAGGGACCCTGAGGAGGGCTGGACGCAGGTCAGCTCAATCTGTGGTTCCCATCCTGGCTCTCTGTCCCAATAACCGGGGAGGAGTGGGGCCCCTTTCACCAAGTAGTGCGTCGGGCAGGTCCCCCAGGGACACGCCCTGTGCCACTGCTGCTCCTGTGGGCCTGCTGGTGGCCAAGTATCTGTGCCGCTCCTGTGGGCCACACGTGCCCCCATTGGCTTATCTGCCCACGTGTTCAGGCCTCTGCAGTGGGAATCAGCAGGAGCCCTGCCTGCAGGGGCTCACTCTCAGGGCAGCGCCTCAAGAGTGGCTGTGACATACAACTGTCACAGAGCCAGGCTGTAGCCACGCCCACCTCCGGGCTCCCTGGAGGGGCAGGGTAAAGAGGGCCCAGGACTGTGTGGACCCGTGCCTTCCCCTACAAGTCCAACTGTGCAGCTCCCTGCCCTCGCTGGGAACCGCTGTCCTCATTTTAAATGGGGCGGTGGCCTAGATCCAGCCTCAGGGAATTGGGGAGGTGGGGCCGCCACTGTCCTGTGGGGACAAGCGGCTAATGAGCAGGGCCAACTGGCTGGTCCCTGTCCTGCATGAGGTGTGCTGCACATGCACCTAGTGAGGGCCTCAGGGAGTGTCCAGCCAGGGGACGATGACGAGAAGGGCCAGGGTGACCACACTGCCCAGGACTCAGCACAGGGCTGGGTCCTGGAGGTGAATGTCACTGCCCCGCTCCATCTGCAGCCACTGAGGTCTTCCGGGGGTCTCTGGTGCCTTGACAGACCACCCGGGGCAGGACGGGGTCTTTGGGTGCCTCTCAGTAAGTGCTGGGCTCAGCAGGGGTGACACGTAGGGATGGGATGTATGCTCCTGAGGCTCTGGTGGGTGCAGGCAAAGGCAGCTCCCGAGTCAGCATCCCATCTGGGGAGCTGGTAGCCCACATGGGAGCGAGGCTGGCACAGCGATCCCCCCTTGCGCAGGTGGAACCCACAGCTATGTCCACTCCACACACACTCCCCACATTCTAGCTGGCTAATGACGTACACGGCTGTACTCCCTGGGCCTCCCCGCCTCCCCTGCCCTACAGGTGACACAGGCGTGTCCCACTCACACGGCACCTGCTCCCAGGAGCCTAAATCTCCATCAATCTTTCAGAGCCATCTCGCCACCACGGGAAGCGCAGCAACTCCAACAAGCATGCCCCAATGTCACCCTGCTCAAGTCAGGGGAGTGGGGGGTGGCAGACGGATAATGGAGGTCCCCCTGTCCTGGCAACTGGCAGCCCGTCCTGGCCCCATAGCAACCCCACTGTGCCCTAGGAATGCACCCACCAGACCAGAGACTGCTGGTCCAGACAGGAAGCAAGAGCCAGCCACTACCGGGACGAAGCTCAGTGGGTCCCCACGACCCGAAGACCGGCACCTCTGCCTTCATCCCCACTCAGCTAGGGGCACCTGTGGAGGAGATGGCCCTGAGGACGTGAAGCTCCTGCATGAGAAGAGTGGAAGGGCTGGAGACAGGGCTTCCCATCACCCCTACAAGAAACCAGGCCAGGGCCCCGCCTGGGCGAGGACGTGAACTACGACCGTTCACCTCCAACGAGAAACGGTAGGATGGCATTCTCCAGACATAGATGGAGGCCGCTCCCCGGGGACCAGGCACCCTACGTGCCCGTACCGGCCAGTGCCCAGCCAGGCCCCCTCCTGGCTGAGGAAAGCAGCGGGGCCGGGCACACGTTCCTCACCAGCCCTTCCAGCACTGTCCCGGCAATGCCATGGGGGGCAGGAGGCTCCATTTGGGCGCCAGGGCCACAGCACGGGGGGGCCACCAAAGGGACACGCGCCCCCCCCAGGATCCCTGACCGCCCTCATGGTCACCTCCCACCACAGGACCACAGCCCAAACGGCTGGGAGAACCAGGCTCTTCAGGACGGGCAGGGGTTCTGTGAACCAAGGGCTCCGAGATGGGCCACCAGCCCTGGCACTCCAACCCTGCTGCTCCACAAACGTCTGCAGCCCATGCAAACCCACACCTGAGCCGCAGTGCTTGGGAACAAACTCACCTGAAGCTGCAGCTGCTCCCAAGCCCCTGTGCCCTGTCTGGCTGCTGCTTAGGAAGGGAGGAAGGGAGGAAGGGAGGAAGGGAGGCATCTCATCAGGCATCCGGCTTCCTCCGGGAGGACTCTGACCCTGGAACACCAAGCCCCGCCTCCAGGCCTCTCTGCAGGAGTCAGAGTCCCTGGAAATCAGTCCCAGGAGACCCTTCGCCTTAGAAGCTGTGTCTCTCTGAGAGCCAAAGGCAGCCTGGGGAGCAGCATGGGCTCAGCCGGTTCCTCACTACCCTGGTTTAAGGCCCAGCCAGCCAGCACCGCGGACAGGGCTGTTCGGGATCCTGTCCCGATCTCCCACAGCCTGGCTCTGCTGCAGGGAACAGGCCATGGGCAAGAGTCCATGGGCAGGGCCACAGAGCAGCACCAGCTAGGGAGGCAGCCAGGATTCCTGCGAACGGCCAGGGAAAAGTGTCCAGCTGGGCAGAGCTCAGGCACATGGCCAGGCAGCCACCTCGACTCCGCTGGACGCAGGCCCGAGCACCACCCGGCCACTCTAACCACCTCCAGGGCAGCCGCTGCCTCGAGCCAGGTGGCTTTGCTCCTCTCGG